CAAAACCATGGAAGAGGTCACAAAAATGATGGAATAAGTTCATGACGAGGTGGAAATTGGTGGTGTTCTGTACACAGCGACTCAAACTGCTGCAAAGTATGCTTTTGAGGCCTTCGACTATGGAATCTAATCGATAGGGTTTATTCTCACAGAAGCTAGAGACCTGATTGACATTATCTAATTAACGATTGACAAAACTGGAGAGCAATACTTCTAGAGATCTTTGATTACAGACCTCAAGGAGCCTCTCATTAACTTAGGGCACTGGATAGTGACCATGAAATAATACACGGAGAATATCCAATAGAATTATTTCGCTCAATCTATTCTAGTTCTTAGTAAAATCAAAAAAAACTATAATAAAGATAAAGATTTATATACTCAAGTCTATAAGGAGTGGTCTAAATAAGAACTAGGTCGGACTGATGATTTTTAAAGCAATTGGGTAGATATTGAAAAAGCAATCAACAGGATTGCAGATCAGTTTATCTCTGCTTACAACTCCCAAAAAATCAGTGATATGATGGCAAAAGTGACAAGAATGTTCAGTTTTAAATGTGAGTAGGTAAACAAAGATTTGAATAGCAAAAAGGAAGAACTAATTAGAGCTGAGGACCACTTAACTGAAAGGAACAATACCAGGAACTCGCTCAACTTTTTGTGGCTCGGCTCTTGGGTTGCTGCTGCCATTGGCTAGGCTGTGATAGCTAGCGAGGTTGCTGCTGCTCAAATTGCTGTAAAACATGCTTATAGAACCTTGAAAAAAGCTATTGCTTCGAAATACGAGGTTCTGATTGTCAGGTCATGCATAGTCAGCGCATTAATCTAAATGAATGCAATTTCCCACCTCCATCCTACCTTACTTTCAACTGTTCAGATTATGAAGTTCACGACTGCTAAGGTTACTTCGTTGGTCAAAGAAACTAAGATATAGATTAAAAACAATTCAGAATACAATCCACAATTTGCTTCCGCTATGCTTCTTGAGTATTATGAGACTAACAGCCAATTGCTGGTAAGATATGTGCAAGCTTGGGACATCTTGCAATCCAAGGCCATGTGGGGAAAACCAACAATCATTGCTAAGGGTTTTATATGAGAAAGTTTATTATTTATTCAAAATACTATTAAAACTTAGTGAATTTATTATTTAAGAGAGTTGATCCAATTAACATCTATATTTGTATAATTTATAAATTGATATCTTAAGTTAAATATACACTTGATGGGGTTTTGGGGTTTTGGGG